TGTCTGGGAAATATTTAGGAGCCTAGAAAAACGAGAAGATCTTTTATGTTTTCTGAATGGGGCCAAGCCAGTTGAGAAGCACCATGTCACAATAGCTTCCTTGGATTGTTGTCTGATAAGTACAGCAGTGCAGCCTGCTATAGAGCATGTAATTCAGATGGAGTTCCCAAGATACTCAGAGAAACATATAATTAACCAAATAAATGGAAGTTCTGTGTTTACACAATACACTGATAAACGAAGCATCCATGGAGGCTTTTATTTTTTATTTTGATTTGACAATCGCTTACAAGATAATAGGTATAAGTATATACATAGTTATGAATACATGAAATGGGTACATATAAGAAAAATAAAAGAAACAATAGGACAGGGATGATAGGCATGTCGGTGCACTTATGCACGCCCCCTACAGACCTCTTAGGAAAGGGGTGAGGTCAATAGTAGACAGTCCAAGGTTAAAGTTTTTGTGGTTTGAGGAAGAAACCACAGAGTCAGGTAGAGTATTCCGGACATTGACCACTCTGTTGCTGAAGTCGTATTTCCTGTAATCAAGTTTGGTGCAATTAAACTTGAGTTTGTATCTATTGTGTGCTCTTGTGTTGTTATGGTTGAAGCTGAAGTATTCATTGACTGGTAAGTCATTGCAATGTATGATTTTATATACCATACTTAGATCAGACCGAAGATGGCGTAATTCAAGGTTTTCTAGTTCTAGAATTTCAAGTCTGGTGGCATAAGGTATTCTACAACGAGTAGAGGAGTGGAGAACTCTTCTTGTGAAATATTTCTGGACTTTCTCAACTGTGCTAATATCAGATACGTAATGTGGGTTCCAGACTGATGAGCTGTATTCGAGTATTGGTCAAGCAAATGTTTTGTATGCTCTAGTTAGTAGTGTGATATTACCAGAGAAAGAGCTACGTAGGATTAGGTTAACAACTCTTAATGCCTTTTTGGCTTTGTAGTTACAGTGGGCTCTAGCACTTAGATCATTAGAGGTGAGTATTCCAAGGTGCTTTACAGAGCTTGGATCATCAACAAGGTCTTGACTATTCAGTTTGTGTTTTATTTTCGGACTTTTTTTGCCAATATGTAAGACAGACCATTTATTTGTTGAGATTTGAAGTTTCCATTTGTTTGACCATTCTGATACATTGTCAAGATCTTTTTGAAGGGTAGCAGTATTGTCTGTGGTATTGAGCAGCTTTACATCATCAGTGAAAAGAACGCAGTTGCTCTTAATATGATCACAGAGGTCATTTTTGTAGAGTATGAAGAGAGTTGGTCCTAGAACAATGCCTTGGGGGACACCACTATTGACAGGTACAAAATTTGATAGGACACTCCCAATTTTGACCATCTGTTGTCTGTTTGACATGAATGCTTCTATCTAGTTATGCAGTTGTCCAGATATACTGTAAGATTTTAGTTTTAGGAGTAGTTTGTTGTGTACCACTGAATCAAAGGCTTTACAGAAGTCTATGTAGATTGCGTCTATTGTTTTGCCCTGATCAAGTTGTGTAGTCCATATGTTTTTGCAGTGTAAGAGTTCCAGATTACAGGATAGTTTTTTTCTGAAACCAAATTGTTTATTGGAGAGTAGATTGTTTGTCTCTAAGTAAAGGATAATGGATTGGTTAATAATTGATTCCATGACTTTACATGTGACACAGCATAAAGAGATTGGTCTGTAATTTTCAACTAGGCTGGAGTCTCCCTTTTTGAAGATGGGGATGACTGTGGCTTGTAACCATAGTTTTGGCAAGGAGCTGGTCCTGAAAGATTTTTCAAAGATTATGCTTAGAGGTTCAACTATGGCAGTGGGTAGCTTTTTTAAGAAGTAGGCACATATTCCATCCTGTCCAATAGATAGAGATGGTTTTAGATTGTGTAGTGCTTTTCCGCATCGTCTTCTGTAAAACCAATATGTATTAGATCATTATAGTTTTCTGAGGTTCAGCTAGGAAATGATCCATTGCTGTTTACAAATACTGAGCCAAAGAATGTGTTAGAGATGTTGGCTTTGAGCAACACATCCAGCAACAGAACTGACTAAGGTTAAAACTAACCAAAACATCTGCTTATGCAAATGCAGCTACTTTTTTAGTTTTTAACTAATCTCATTATGTATGTTGAGTAAACCCAGTTTACCCGAACACTCTCACACACACATACTGCCAAAAACTTTGCAATGAGGACACCAGGAAATCTTGGCAGAACAAGCTGAATATAAATACAATTTATATTGTATGTGTCATGCAATTGTGTTGCATATAAAGTAAATACAAGTGGGTTTTTTTAATTTAAAAAGTATTTGCCAATTTGCTTTTGCACTCTTTTATTAGTCTGTTGGAAATCTGATCAATGTTGGGATTGGCAACTAGGTTAAAAAAAGTCATGAATATATAAATAAAGGGAATAAAATTTCTGTCTAATATCTGCTATATTAAAATGGGGGAACCTAGAACATCCTGGAAGGGATTTTTGAGTTTCCTCAGCTTCCATCATAGCTGTGTTTGAATCTTACAAGAGTGGTGAGCATCAAGGCTTTTGTTTATTGAGTTTCATTGAAAATCTGGATTTGACCACTGGAAAAGATTGTAGTGGGTCAAAGAAACAGACCCTGACTGTTTCTGGGAGAGTCAGAAATTTTTTTCCTGGGGTTTCAATATTTTATTAGATTATAGCAAAAAAATACAAAAATACAAAAGCAAATAGTAAAATACACTGTAGAGAAAAGGAAGAAAAAAAATGAAACTAGAAACTTTTCTTTTGCATTTACTGGAAAAACACTTAGGGAAAAAAAATAGAACTTTGATTTTATGTACTGTATTTTTCACGCAATAAGATGCACTTTTTTGTCATTTGGGTTGAAATGTGTGTGCATCTTATGGAGTGAATATTGCCAAAGCCCCGCCCACCCACCAGTCCACACCCGTTGGCTGCCTTTGGCCTCTGTGCGCCCCGTTTTTGACCTCTGCGTGCCCCATTTTCAGCCTCTACATCCCATTTTTGGCCTCTGTGCACCCCATTTTTGACCTCAGCAAAGGATGCTGAAAACAGGATGCACAGAGGCCGAAAATTGCATGAGCGGAGGCCAAAAACAGGACACACAGAGGCCAAAAACGGGAGTGCATCTTATGGTCAGGTGCATCTTATGGAGCAAAAAAATACGGTATGTTGATGGCAGCAAGGCTACTATATGCACAAAAATTGAAGAATATTCAATTCCCACCATGGACAAATGGCTTCAGATGGTGATGAAGTTGGCAGAGATGGCTAAATTGATCATTTTGATCAAACAAAAGAATATAAATATTTTTGTTGCTACGTGGAAACTGCTTCTGGATTTTGTGCTTGAGGTGGAAAAAAATGAAACTTTGATTTTGGGTTTTACTGATTAGATTGATTTGTTGTTATAGAAGTGGCTAGTTTATATTATGGAAAAATAAAAAGTTGATGTTTGATGTTAATGCTTTATTTTACTGCAACAGAGAGAGTCGGAAGTCAACAAAGAGTCAGAATATTTTATAGATGGAACCAGATTACAGATAATCAGAGTTGGAAGGGACCTTGTAGGTCATCTAGTCCAACTTCCTGCCCAGGTGGGAGACCCTACACCATTTCTGACAAATGGCAATCCAATCTCTTCTTGAAAGTCTCAAGTCATGAAACTCCCACGGCTTCCAAATGCAAGCTGTTCCATGGGTTGATTGTTCTCACTATCAGAAAATTTCTCTTTATTTCTAGGTTGAATCTCTCCTTGTTCAGTTCCCATCCATTATTCCTTGTCTGGCTTTCAGGTTGTCCTGGAAAATAGCTTGACCCCTTCCTCTTTTTGGCCACCCTTCAAATATTGGGACACTGGTATCATGTCTCCCCTGGTCCTTCTCTTCCCTAGATTAGCCACGCCCAGTTCCTGCAACTGTTCATCATATATTTTCGTCTCCAGAACAAGAAACAAATGCAACAGGATTCTTTTTAATTACCATTAATGACAACCTAAGAATCTTGTTAACCACCACTGAACATTTTCAGGTAATGTTTTGGCTAAAAGAAACTCTGACATTGAATTTGAACCTGCAATTGCATTTGTTGTTCTACCCCATGTCTAAATGTTATAGCATTGGACCAATTCCCTTTCCCTGCACTTTTTCTTAGGGTGCAAACCATATAACTTTGGGACTCACAGTATAAAGACAAACTCAGCAAAAGAGACAGAAACAAAACTAAATTAAATTTCATTTTTATTTTGGAAAGTATCAAGCAACATCTTCCTGGGATGTAAATGCTAATAAATACTGTTTTGAACACAGCTTTTAACAACTACATATCAATAGAAATACAATATAAATAGAAATATCACATATTCAGTTTCAGATACAGATGTGAAATGCCTGTGGCATCAATATATAAATAAACACAAAGAAACAAGTACAGAACTGGATTCAAAAATAGTTTTCACAAACCTCTAGCTTGTGAAATCTCTGCTCTCCATTTCAATCTATGCTTAGTGAATTTTTTATAACAAACTTAAATTTCCATCTTTCTTTTCATGATATCCAACACAGCATTCTGGGAGTTACAGTTCAGAGAGATGCTCTGGGACTTTTCATACAGTATAGTATAGCCTTGAACTGGTGTAAATTTCAGTAGTTAAAACACATTTAGTTTAGAAGCACCATTAGAACTCAAAGTGAGAGGTCTTTTGGTTAAGGACAGGAGGGGTAGGTTCTTTACATTCAAGAGTATAGCTTTCAAACATTTTAGGTGAACATCAGGATAAAGCAGAGTAATTTTCAAACTAATTTTGGAAAAAAAGTTGGAAGATTTAGCTAAGAAAGGAGACCCTTGGAATCTCCTGGCAGGGACTCTGTTCATTGCCAGAATATATGGGCAGAGTGATAAAGGCACAGCTGAGTTTCTAATGTAGTTGTTTCCCAGATGGAGTTTCTCTATTGACATCAAGATATGGCAACATGGCAGAAGCTCAGCAGTTAAGATCTTCTTCGTTCTTCTTTGAAAGATCTTACAATATCCATGACCCATTCTTCTCCTGGATTAACACAGACTGGCATATCATTCCTTAGGATAAACCTATCAGAAAGCAAGATAATTTTTTACAATTTAAGCTATATTTTCACCAGCTGGGTTCACATAGCACACTAAGCTACAATTTGTTTAAATATATAATTTGTTTTAAAAAACAACAATTGACTGGGTTTAGAAAAGCATGCTGAGTCCTAAGTGATATCATATTTGTTAGCAACAGAGTAATGAATGGATTTCATAATACTATACTACAGTATAGTAGTGTTCCTCAACCTTGAAACTTTAAAATGTGTGGACTTCAACTCCCAGAACTTCTCATTCAGCCGTGCTCGCTGGGGAATTCTGGGAGTTGAAGACCACATATCATAAAGTCCCCAAGGTTGGAAACACTGCAATAGGGTATGCACACCGTCAAAGTTTCAATCCTTACCCAGGCAGAGTATCTCTCTACTGTACATTCAGCACTCTATGCCTTATGCCTATGCTTTTAGACTTTAATTCATTAAAGGAGCTGCAAAGGACACCTTTTCCTGTGCTTTCGTCCAATTCCCAGACTTACACTAGAGATGGCAGGTGGCATGTCCCAGTGGTGGAGAAAAAACTTTTCACACGATGCTTCGAAATTTTTCTCTTGGTGTAACTTAGGCAGCAGATAGTTGACTCAAAGCCCACTGTAAGAGATGTTAAAGGTGTCAATATTTAGCTTAGCTCAATTATAAAATATCAGCCTTTTCTATACAATGACTTTGAGACCTCTGTTTCCTGAGGTTGACCATTCATCATCTCACTGACCACATTTAAATCTAATTGGAACCTTCCAGAATCATCTAACATCACAAGACTGGAATAGGTTTGGGAACTGTGATTTGTTTCCGTTTTTTTGTCTTCTAGTTATTTAAAATTTGTTTTGACACCTGGTTTAATGACTTAAAATAGATTCAATGCTCTTCTAACAAGATTTATTCACCCAGCTCCTATTTTGTGGTTTTCTTTATCCCTAGAATTTTGTCTTATAGCAAAATGACATCTATTAAGATGGCAAGAGGGGAAATGTGATCTGTATGACATTTTAAAACATATTTCAAGAACTGCATATGAGGCAGCTGTTGTTCCCATCAGATGCAGGTTCCATTTAGTCATCATCACCCAAAGCTCCTCTATGAGAGAGATGGGTTGTTAAGTTTGATTAGATAGATGATATAGACAGACAAACAGATGATAGAGATAGACAGACAGACAGATAGAGATATAGAGATATAGAGATAGAGATACAGACAAATGATAGACAGACAGACAGACAGACAGATATAGATAGAGATACAGATAGACAATAGATGATAGATAGATAGATAGATAGATAGATAGATAGATAGATAGATAGATAGATAGATAGATAGATAGATAGAGATGGCTTCTAGCCTATAATAAACATCATTCTCCTTGGTGAAAACTCTAGCTAATGTTGCTATTTTAAAATACATCCAGTTTATCAGTGACACTGATTGTAGAATCTGTTAATTCAGAATATACTGAACTAAGATTCCTAACCACTGGGTGATTTCTATTTGAAATGAACTAGCATTTTTTAAAATGTCACTATTATGAAGATATACAATAGCTGTCTAATCTTTTAAAGATGTTTCTGTGTTACTTTCAGACATATTCCTGAAGAACTGTGTTGCTTTCAATTAATATCCCCCTCACATGCTATCTTATCAAATACATCATCCACAATTACACATTTGTTTCTTAGGTTCAGACTAAAATTCATTTAGCTCTAAGTTAACTCACACGCATCAGTTACAGGCAGAGAGATGGAGGCCACAAGAAAAAGAAACATGAAGGCTGCTACTGAGATCTTCATGATGAGCAGAGTTGAAGAGTAGACTCAGGAGTGTTGAAAATACTGCCTCTTTCGTTTAGTGCTCACTAGTCCTGAACCCTCCTTTTATATAACTTTATGGTTATGTTCATAGGGAAATTTATGTGTTTTTACTCATAAGGGAAAATACCAGAAAACCACTCCTGAGAAACAGAATTGATATCATGGGACAACTGATGGAAACAAAAAAAGAGAAGTTTCAGGGAAACACCTCATGAAATCATTGAAAGTAGCCAGAGATATCTTTTCTTGTGAAGAGTTATTTCTCCACCTCTCAGTGGTTGGTGGCATGGCAACCATACTAAAAAAACTGAGAATGAAATCATTCCAAAAAGTTTTTTTCTTCTATTTATGGTGGTCACAGAAAAAAATGAGAAAAACATTCTTTTAAGTCAGTGTTGACCCAGTCTCCCTAAATCCAAAAGAAGGACCAATATGTTTAAATAAAAATGTATCGTTCTATCAAATACCCTAAGGAAGGATACAGACCAATGGGGAAGCTAACCAGATATAAGGCATTTGTAACAAGAAGGCATTCTTGGTCTAACAGATGCCAGTTCAAAACAAGAACACCTTTTGTATAATATGTCTTCCAAGCTTGATTAAAATCCTATCTGCCTCCTATCTGTGGAACAGGGATTCCCCTGCACCATCCAAGCTTTACTGAATTGGGATTTCTTGTCTCTGGGAATTCCCTGGATGTATTTTGGCAGCCAGAGGTAAAAATTAAATGTGGAGTAGAGAGCTCCCTTTGAGATCCAAAGTTGACTACTTAAATCTGTCAAAGCCTTTAATTTTCAGTTTCTTTTCTTGTAACACAAGCTAAAATAATTGAAAGTTTTCAGAGACACAATTCTTACTCATGGGACCTCTCCTCATTCTGTTTTAGGTTACATGAAACAACCTAGACAACAACACAAATATGGACATTTTTGTCCCAATGCTAAGAATATTGTCCTCAATGGATAGAATTAAAATTAGTCTTCAATTTTTGATGACAATTGAGTCCAAAATTTCTATTGTTGAGACAAGTGAGTTTTATGACTTTTCTTGCCACAGATGTTAAGTGAATCACTGCAGTTGTTAAGTTAGTAATTTTTATGAAGATGTTGAAGAATATTGGCCCCAAGACAAAACTTTGTGGTACCCACAACATGGTTCTCTCTATTCAGGACTACACATTGAGTGTAGTTGGTCAACCAATTATGAATCCATCTAGTAGTGAAACTGTCCCTCATTTTTCTATCTTACCAAGAAATAGGTTGTGGTCTACTTTGTCAAATGCCTTACTAAAGTCCAGATATACCATGTCCACAACATTTCACTGATCCACAAATTTAATCATTCTGTCAAATAATGCCATAAGATTTATTTGGCATGATCTGTTTTTGACAAACAGATGTTAACTTCTAATAATAGATTTGCTTGTTTCTAACTATTTGCAGATACACTGCTTGATTATCTTTTCCAAGATGTTCCCAACTATTGATGTCAAGCTGATTGGTATTTCCTGGATCCATTTTTTCCTTCTTTTTTAAAAGATTGGAATCACATCAGCTCTTTCCCAGTCCTCTGATAGTTCCCTGGTGGTCAAGGATCTTTGAAAGTAGAGTGGTTTTCAGAATGATTCTCTGTTCTGAGAAACAGTGATTCTGAGAAAGAGAAAGAAAGAAAAATGCAGATCAACAGAGAGGGTAAGGACATTTGTAAAATATTTCAGGGGAGGAGGGACAATAGATTCTAATTATCTGTTGAAAAAAAAGTGGGAAGTCATATATATGTGTGTGTGTGTGTGTGTTAAGTTTTCGCGGGTACTTACATGTATGGTATTCAGCTTTGTTCAGGTATTTTCCCACATCATTATAGTTGTGCTTTTAAAATTGTACCAACGTTTTGGCAGAATCTCATCTGCCATCATCAGGCTTCTGTATTGTGTTCGTCTGCTACAACGTTGCTACAACTTTAAAAGCACAACTATAATGACGTGGGAAAATACCCAAACAAAGCTGAATAACATACATACATACATACATAAATATACACTAGTTTTTTCTCAAACTTTTTTCTTTCAAATTGTGTCTTATTTTACAAAAAATCTTAATAAGCATAAATAAAAATATCATTAAAATATTCTAATGTATATTATGATAATAAGCAAAAGAAAACAAATTGGTAAGATTTATTATGGTTGATTGCAGTCAGATAGATATTTAGACTAGATTTGTCATTTTTGTTCACCAATCAAATCCTTCCCCAAGAACCTGGGACAGGCAGATGATGTTGTTTGATGGTATTATTGCAGGATATAAACTGTTCCAAATAAGCCTGCCTTTTACAATTGAGTGATGGTGATTTTGTCAATGCCAATGGTATTCAAGTGGTGCTCCAGTTGTTTTGGATAGGTACCTATTACTATTGGTACTTTTTTTGCTTTCCTTTACCATAGTTGTTCTATTTCTATTTGCAAATCTTTGTGGTTTGTTATTTCTCTCTGGTTCTTTCTCTTCTCTTCTGCTGCCGCCAGGTACTGGACTATCCACTATGCAGACTTTTTGTGTTTCTTCTCAACAATTGTTAAGACTGAAGTGAGATGAGGCAGGTGCTTATCTGTTTGAATTCTAAAATCCCAGAGCACTTTGGCATCTTCATTTTCTATTGCTTTCTTTATTTTATGGTTCCGTCATTTCTTGCTTACATGCAAACAGTATTCTTGCAGATATTCCAGTGCACCATTATTGCTCCTTTGTCATGCTTTTTCTGTAGTAGTCAGTCTACATGATTTTCTTGCAGCAGCTAACTAGATAGTCTACTGTTCCTCCGTCTTCCTTGCAGAGGTGACATTTGCAATCTACTGCTGTCGTCTCAGTTCTGGCTTTATATGCATTTGTTCTTAAGCTTTGTTCTTGGGTAGCCAGAATTCGCTCTTCTGCTCTCTCTTCAATTTTCCTGCTTTTAGCCATTGCAAGGTCTTATTATTATCTTTTTTGCCTGTTTGTGTGTGTGAGTGTGTGTGTGTTGGTGGTGGTGAATGTGAGGTGTACTGGCCATGTTATACTTTGTCTTGCCCTATCTCTTTTTTATTCTTCATTTAGTCTTTATTGTAAACCAGTTTGGTTTCCATGGTACTCATTAAGGCAAGATAATGATGGCATTCATACTCTACTTGGGTCTCCTTGGCCTAGAAGCAGGGTTTGCATCCACATTACAAAGGTTTTGCCCCAACTTTTGCAATTACATGGAAACCTCTATCTTTCGAAATTCAATGCTGACATTGTAAGCTGCACAAAGAGTGCTATAAAGCACTATGGAGTGGTATATAAGTCTAAGTGCTATTGGTACTAGAATGTGTCAGTACCATATGAGGAAATGCATATATTTATTCCATGATGCTAATTAGTTTTGATGTATTACTGTAACAAGAAGTGAAACCAGATATATTAAAAAAAAAATTCTCACAGGAAATGTTTCTTATATTGCTAGAAAGCTTCAGTTTAGACTGGGAGTTACACAACTGGCAGGTTTCTTTTCTACAATTCTCCAGAAAGAAAGCTGTCACTTAAATTACTGTAAAATAATTGAGGTGTGGCAGGATTTCTACCTTCGTATACCTAAAGCCCCAGCTTCCATCTCAAGTGAAACCATCCAGAAACATCTGAACTTTTAAGAAAACCAATAGATGAAAGAGAACATCTATTTAATTTCTTCTTCTTCTAATAAAGTCCTAATTTCAAAGAGTGAAATCATTGGAGGCTCAAGGTCCCTTCCAACTCTGTTATTCTATGAGGAGAAGGCATAATTAAGCATTAAGTTGAGTCTCTGTTTCCCCTGTGGTATTTTGTTCTTTTTCCCTTTTTCTTCTGATCCCTTTTCTCAATTTTTTTCTGTTCCTCACATATGAAGCTGTTGGAAAAGGGATATATTATTTTTGCTGGAATAAAAATTGCTTGCTTACAAAGAGTTTTGAACTTAAGGGCAAAAGCCATATAAGCTTCACAAAGGTCATATGATATCCTAAGACTTTTAGGATACCCCTTATTTGGGCCAATCCATCTTATTTTTTATTTTCAAACTCTTAGCAGGGAACCAGATAAAAGTTCTAGTAATATAGCACTGCCTTAAAATATTTTTAAGAAAGCATCTACAAGATAATTATATCCACCAAAAGCCTTATTTTTACAATTGGAGACAAAATGTTTGTCCTTATGTGCTTTGTCCCCTTCTTCTCACTTCACCCAGAGTATCTTCTGGGAAATTGGGCATCTACAGTCACACACAGATGTGGTCTCTCCATGGCAAAATATAAAGGATTAAGGACTTCACATGTCTTTTATGTAATTCTTTTTCTAATGTGACCCAGAATGACACTAGGAAGAAAGAGAAAGAGAAAGAAAAAGAAAGAAAGAAAGAAAGAAAGAAAGAAAGAAAGAAAGAAAGAAA